CACAGTGAGATCGGATTTTCTAGAGAAAAGGCATGCTTGTGTTTCGTTTGCATTGAAATCTACCACGTTGTTGGATCCCCATTCGAGAATTGTTGCCAAGTCCATATTTATGTTGTCAACATTTCTTCCTCGTTCGATCCTGATTTGCCTAGCTGGTATCGGAGCCCTGGAAGAGAAAGCGGTATGGAGGGTACTATCATCCTCGAAGCTGTGTACTGAATACGAAGTTGCTTTTAAGAAATCGTTGATCTGGAGTAGGAATAGTGTTGAGGCTAGAACTGATTCTTGCGGAACACCAGCATTTATGATAGGAGAGTCAGATGAAACTCCGTCGTCGACCACCACAGCTACAGCTAGCAAAGAGAATAGCTAGGGAGGCGAGCCATGAGATGGAAGCTTGGCGAGGAGTCCGTGGTGCCAGACTCGATCGAATGCCTTGGAGTTATTAAGTGCCACGGCTGAGGTTTCACCATATTTTTCAATAGATTGCTGCCATATATGTGAGAGTTAAGCGAGCAGGTCACTAGTTGATCTCTGATTACGAAAGCCATATTGCCTATCGTCGATAATATCTGAATGTTCCAGTTATTACATGAGCTCGATGTTGATAACTTCCTCAATGATCTTCGAAATAATAGACCAATCTATAGAATATTGCGTTAAAGGTTACTGAGACTTTGGCCGTTGAACATTCATTTCTTCTAAGTAACCTGTGCTCGAGTAACTGTCTGAGACAAACTCTGGCAAACCTTCCAGGAAGCGAAGAAATCGCCCACGGTGATAAAGGAAAAATATGTTTTTCTATCGCTGGAAAGTAAGCGAAGTTCACTTCTATTGGAGTAGTTTCTTTCATTTCTTTGAATAGAGCCACAGTATATTATCGTGAACGGATAATATACTGTGATAGAGCCAAGGGAAGGGCATAAACAGTATGATCACCTAATCAGAATATCTTTAAAGGTAACCATTCAGAAATTCATTCTTGTCAGTATACGGTGATCGAGAAACTGACTAAGTCAAAATTTGGTTTGCCCTACATTTATTTATTTATTTATTTCAAAAATTACATCCAACAGGCCCAAGAGCCCATTAAAAGGTGTACAAAATTGATAATAGGTGATAAGAGTAATCCTATACTAAGCATAATTAATACTAAGTGAATTAGAGCATAATGTATAATTATCAATTAGGAAGTGTGCTGAGAATATCACGTTTGAATTGTGCAAATGACAAAAAGAAAATATCTACATTGGGTGTATTATTAACGCTCCTAGACATTGTTGATAAAGGTGAGTGGAAGTTATGCACAGTGTTAGGCACGGGAAAGTAAAATGTGTTACATGAGCGAGATGAGAAACGAGGTACATTGAACATCATTTGTGACAAAAAAGTTGAACAATCTATTTGGTTGTGTATTATTTTGTAACTGAAGCACATGTCTCTTATTTCGCGATACTTTCTTAGTGATATCAGATTAAACTCCTGTAGCAAGAAGTCATAATTATAGCCTCTAACGAGATAAATACCATGTTTTTTATAATAAGCGAAAGATACGCATAAGAGTGTTACCATCAAGTGCATAATTAAATGTGAGTGGAACAAGTTTACGAGTGAAAGTCATAACTTTACATTTTTTGATATTCAAGTGGAGTTTATTCTGAATGCACCATGAGCACCCCAGGAAACGAGTAGAACATCCATGGTGATAAACTGATAGGGCTTGTGTCGCTAGAAAAAATCGTGGTTCACCTCTAGCATCCTCTACTGTGACGTAGTTCATAGGACCGATAATATTCCTTGGACCAGCGAGACGTGGAAACAGATGAAGTAACCTATTCTCGGACCTAGTTGAATCCTCAGACTGAGTAGTCAAGAAGAGATATTTGTTTAGCTCATTTCCTCAGTGGATAAAAAAAACACATTCCAAGGTTTTCAGTGGAACCGCTGCCTAATCGGGTATTTCATGTGGATCAAATACCTCCTGACGAAATAAATTGAATGAGTTTTATGACATGTTGATGATGTTCATAATATAATAACATAAGTGTCAGTAACTCAGATTTATGAACTTAATTATTTCAGAATAAACGTGGCAGCATCGCGAAGTTTCTTCGTATACGAGCAATAATAATCGTAGTAATAGTTTTCCGGATTTTTTTGTGATTAGGTCTCAATGTTTCTGTATCTTATTCATTATAAATCTACATCAGACTATTTTGTGAATGAAATATGATTCGCCATGCAGGGTCAGGTTGGACAAGGGAAGTTTGTTACGAATATCCTACTATAATATTTCAGAACTACGTGAAAATTTGGTGCAGTGACGTTCTAGTTTGAAGACTTGATTTTCTGAAAAGCAATTGACTTTTTCCATCCCCTTGAATTCAATGATTTTTTCTTGTTGAAATAATGATAACTGCATCAGGTCATTGCCACCACATCGCTATTATTCTTAATACACCATGAATCAATAATATTTAATCTCTCACCAAGAAGACGACGCTAGGTCATTTGAATTTTCCGGGAGAAACAACTCGATTTCTAATTCATTGTGGAGAAAAACAACCTGGTATTTTAATAATATTATGTCTTCCAACAATTGAGACATCATCAGGATGAAAAAATATCTTCTTGCTGTTCGATATAGCGATGACCTATATATACCTACATGTTTGAAGTTTCATTTATATTCTGAACTCGGCAACTTCCTACACATTGCTGGTCGCGTGACAATCAAGATGACGTAGCAGGAAAAGCTTTCGTGCTTTTTCTTGCTTTTCAAGAACATTTGACTGCTATCAAGTGATTCCTATTAGTGTTGACCTCATGTGTGAAGAAACTGTTAATCATATTATACTCAGATAAAACATGTTAAACCACCAGCACGTGGAGAACTAACCTTCATGCAAAAGTATGAAAACATTTTCTGGTCACTAGAATAAAATTGATATCAGAATGAACATGTTTATGAAGAAGATCCAGCATGATTCTTTTGTTGTATCTATGTATGTATAGGTATCCATATGATTTTTTTACAACCATTCTCTCGGTGCCCTATCACTATAACCATCAAGCCAACACAAACTAACAAGTTGACATTGCCTAAACCAACTGATTCCTGATATACACGGTGACTCGTTGAAATAATTAGAATAGGTTATGTAAACATATAATTCTGAACGCGTCGTCGTCCATATACAGGGTGTTCCTTAAAGACATGTTAATATTCGAGAAGGTGACTCTTCGACTCATTTTAAGAAGAAAATTTCATATGAACATGAACATATGTCCTAAAAGTCTCAACTTTTGAGATAGAGGGTGATGAAGTTTTGAAAAATATTCAGTTTTTTGATAATAACTGAGACAATATTGTATACATCTTCATGAAATTTGGTACACGTCTTTTATGCATCAAGGTGCATTTTCTGATGTACAAAAATTTTCATTTTTTTCACCAGTGGCACCGTTACGGGAGTATTATTGTTTATATTTTACTTGAAAGTTAGTAGCGACAAGAAAATTAAAGTTATATTCAATGTCATAAAACTCTATTCAATTATTCACAAAAATGATCCTTCTATTGATACTCGATAGAACGCTTCGTTTTGGAGAAAAAACAGAAAAACGAGACCAGACTTCAAATTTTAATGTCTGAGTACATAGCAGACTGAATTTTGTCATTACGAAAAGCTATACAGGGTGGACAAGAAAGTGATCTATTCATATTTTCAACATTGACACCCTATACCCCAAAAGTTAGAACGTTCACGACATACGTTCATATGAAGTTTAATTCTTGAAATGGGTCGAAGAATCGACCCCTTGAATATTAGCATATCATTAAGAAACACCTTGTATAGGGTGTTGAAAAAATGAGTTTGAATATTGTTTTTTGATTAAAAGGTTCGAAACGGTTCCAGATAAATCAACCAAATTTCCCACTGATACTGAACTTGTTACGTTCTTCAAGATGAAATAGAAATTATTCCATAAAGTGATTCATTGGCGGCTGAATTTGGGGAGAGTGAAGAAAAAAAATCACCCTCATTTTTATAAGTGCATTCCTCTCACAATTTGTAATTCAATATCTGAAGGAACATAGGTCTCACTTGTGAGTTTTTGATGCGATTGGCCGTTTTCGAGTTAAATGGGTTCAGCAATATCGTAATATTTTCAGTTCAATAATGATATCTGATTGTAATAATTGAAACAAGAGTGCTATGCTCACTGTTTCATCATATAGAGCGTGAAAAGTCTATAGTATATGTGAGAAATGCATGTTGTTGATTTATCTCAAACAGTTTCGAACTTTCCATAAAAAATTATACACAGACTATAATATTTTCAACACCCTTTATCTCGAAAAGGACACGTTTGAAAGTATATGTTGATATACTTTTTTCATAATTTCAACAAGTACAACACACTGTTGAATTTTTTGTATCAAAAACCGAACCACCCTATATACGAATGCTAACACGAATTCAATCAGAGATTGAGAATATTATTGAAAATTATCATCTTTTCTAGCTTCCAAATTACTTCTTCAAGCATTCTCAGATATAACCAATGAAAAGTTCTTCATTGCGAATCGATTATCGACATATCTGAAAATAGTGGCTTTCCAAGGGCATTCTTTTTACGACAAAATAATTGGTATCATGTTTTCTCTCAAAAGTTCAACTACAAAATTGCACGCATTTTGATCAATCAGAATAACGAACGAAATGATTGATAGTATCATTATTTCCATTATAGCTGATATCGATCAGCCATGAAGTTATCGTGGAAAGTATAGGTAGGTAATGTTCAGCAGTTTTTAACAAACATTATAATGGAACTATTTTGAAAATCTCACCTCCCGAATGTTCTAACAATATTCAGGAAACACCCTATATACAAATTTCCTTTGGTCTCTAAGTATTGGCAATGCTCATTATTTCATTCAGTTGCTGTTGAATTGAGGTTCCAGGTAAGTCTAGAGGAATAAAACGAAGGTATATAGTACAACAAACAAATGTTTAATAATACAGTTGAATACTAAATTGACAAACTTTTTTAACATTCACAACATTCAGGTAAAAACATGACACGTATATGTATATGTATATGGGTAAAAACATTTTGAATTTTCATTAGTTTGCATTTTTATTACTCATAGGGGTGTTGTCCAGTCAAAACAACGCCGAGAGAGAATTTCATGGATATGTTTGATATTTTCATTTTGATTATTCGATACATTATTATTATTTTGATTGAATGAAAATACATGGACATACTGAGAGTGTATGCAAATATAAGATGAATCAATAGTCGACAGAGTAAAAATATCTGATTAAAATGAAGTATACGTAGTGTATGAAACAGTATAAGCGTAAATACTGTCTCCTCGTTTCTATAAAATAGAAGTATTCGTATTATTTCAATATATTTGTAGAGGGACAAATCAGATGATTTGCCCCAAAATGTCACTGCGTTTAACAAATTTTCCTATCAGGGAGTCTAAAAGAAAAATCCAGTAGCTTGTCAGTGACAATTCGTTTGAAAAAATGTTTGAAGGAAAAAAATATAGATATATTGAAAAAAATCGAATTTTTACTTATCTCTGGACGTTTCGGGACCGATTCTGCTTCCGTTCTCAACAAATTATGTTTCTTTGAAAGTTGTGTTGCTTATAGTTTGACACTTTTCAGTGTCATACTGATGTTGGCATATGAATGAGTGATTTTAGTCTTCAAAGGAGTTACAGGATGTTTTCATTAATTGATCTTGAATCCACCATTTTCATGATCAGTTTTCAGTAGTGAATACCATGTTCTATCTATATCAACTGAACAGGAAGCAATGCTATTGTCTCCGTTTAGAAGAATGCAAGCGGATTCCTTTATTTTTCTTCCTTGGTTGTTATCTTCCTTCCCTATGATTTTGATATTATTCCACTCTGCCATATGTTGTCCATTTTCAGTAAGGATATGTTCAGTTAGCTTCGATTTATCGATATGTCTTTTCTTGATATTGTACTCGTGTTCTTTAGTCCTTACTGAGAGAGGTCTTTTCGTTTCACCTGTATAATACTTTCCACAAACACAAGGTATACTGTAAATACAATTTTTAGATGATTGTTCTTCATTTTTTGGCTTTGTTTGAGTTAGAATGGATCTCATTGTATTTTCAATTTTGAACACAGTTTTCACTTGGAACTTATCACCAACACGTTTTATTTTTTCAGATATGCCGAGAATGTACGGTATTATATTCGTCGTTATTGATGGTTGTTTTTGTTGTGGTGTATTTTGTTTGTTTTCAATTTGGTGAATCGGTCTATCAATGAAGTTCCTTGGATATGAGTTGGGTTGAAGAATAATTAATGAAAACATCCTGTAACTCATTTGAAGACTAAAATCACTCATTTATATCAGTATGACACTGAAAAGTGTCAAACTATAAGCAACACAACTTTCAAAGAAACATAATTTGCATTCACATGTTGAGAACGGCAGAAGAATCGGTCCCGAAACGTCCAAATTTAAGTAAAAATTCGATATTTTCTCAATATATCTATATTTCTTTCCTTCAAACATTTCCTCAAACAAATTGTCACTGACAAGCTACTGGATTTTTCTTTTAGACTCCCTGATAGAAAAATTTGTTAAACGCAGTGACATTTTGGGGCAAATCATCTGATTTGTCCCTCTACAAATATATTGAAATAATACGAATATTTTCATTTTATAGAAACGAAGAGAGAAAATCCCAAAAAATCAAGTAAAATGAGTATAAGCGTAGTTCGGTAATATAAAATATCAATCATTATAAATATATCAACCTGATCTGATATTGTTAAGCCGTTAGTCAAATTTCAATGAGAAATATTTTTATATTTCTGTCATGACAAGATGATTTTCTTTTGGTGTAATTAAAAGAAATGCAAAAATCACTTATTCCAATTCTAGTGTGCAAAATTGAACGGGATAGATGCTATTACTGAACCTTTTCCAATTCAAATCGAGACTTACCATTTTCAAATTGAAGATAAACTCGAATGGATGAAGGAACTTGGATTCAACACATCAAAATTGTTAATTTGCAAATTGAAATTGAGACTAATTTCATTATTTTCGAAATAAAAATGACCAATTCTGAATGAATAAACACACAAACATTGGATTTTGATCATTTTGATCCTATTCTCCCCTGTTTTTATTTCGACACGATTCTACATCAATCGATTAGGGGTTTTCGTCTACCCCTTCCATCACCACAGGGAGAAAAAGGAAAAAACGAATCAACAAAAATTCTAGGAACATAACAAAATCTGAGTGTCATATATCTACTACAAAATATCGTAACGACTACCTACAAAATATTTTTATTCTTTCAATTGAAAATTCATTTGCTTTAACTCATTATCGATTCGACTCAACAGTGAACACAATATGTTGATTGAAATGATCAATAACAGTATAAATTAAGTAGCGAAGTATTCAGTAACAATATTTCATATTGTATCGGTAATCAGATTTAACAAACTTTTTTGATGAATAATATTTATAATAATGATGAATCTCCAAGAATCAAATTTCAGAACCGAAAGATATTGAAAAAAATTTAATTCTCCAAATGATTCAAGATTATTGGCTTGTGAACGTATAATCACACATTCTAGGACAGCTGATAATATCCCTATATTCTACCAGAATCAAAGCGACAGTATGGAAGATGGAAAATGCAACTAGATAATGGATATAAAAAATATATCTGTTGTTTGTATCTATGTATCTGTTGACTCTGTTCCACAATATGGTTTATTTGAAATAACAACATATTCCTTGATAACATAACAAATATAAGAGTTGCGGCAACAAATATCTGTTTAAAATCATTTTCATTTCATTCAAATATCGTCTTTCACACAATAGTTATTGACAATTCCAATTTGTAGTTTTCCAATTCGATGCTGTTTCGTCATAAATTAAATAGGTATCCAATTCAACTGTGTTAAACGAATTTGAATACATTAATTCCCAAGTTTGAAATGCTTATTCTGAATCTAATCGTGTTCAAGTATGCGTATTTTGGATTTGTTTATCAATGTCGATGTGTTTTGTCTAAATTTGAACTTGAAAAGGTATAACCGATCGATCACCATGCATAACATTGAGTATAGTATAGTATGGGGTCAACTTATAAACATCTCAAGTATGGGGAACCTAGTGATCAAATGACACCGTTTCACAGATGAGCATTCAAAGCTCTCTCAATCGACTGTACAAACACCTAAATCGAAACATAACTGGTTATCGATAATACCGATCATTCGGTAATCGGCATCGTTCACACTTGAGTGTGAGTGTTGCTGTGCGGCTGTTCTGGTTCAGTTACTCCAGCTACTTGATTGGCCGGTGTGTAGTACTAAAAAAATCAAAATAGGTTACTAGGGCGCTGAACAGACACAACGCGAAATAACTTTCACTAAAACTGACAAAAAAACTGTACATTTTTAATATATTTTGTGTGCCTGAAGTGTACAATTTTCCAATTTAAAAATACTATTTCATTGTGTTACGGAGAAGTGTGAGAAAAAGTACACTGTTTTCACGGTTCTTGCTAGGCCATAAAATGAATGCTGTAGGCTGTTTTGTTCGACGAACAAGTCTGACGCAAAACCGAAGTGTTTGGCTGCAAAATGGTCGTTTTCGCTAGCTACAAACGACATCCTTCGGGTTTGCGTCATTTCTGTTCGAACATACCTGTTCGACGAACAAAACATCCCAAAAACAACACAGTTTATGGGCTCGCTCCTTCAGGGGATTCAGCAAGGTAGCAAGCGAACAAATCAAGGCGACTGACTTTGTATTTCGTATGGAGTGCCAGAGAAATGGATAGGAGGGATGGAAGCTAGAAGAAGGCACCACGATATCCTTGCGTATTAGATAATGATAATATGCTCGCATCTCATTTATGGATGCCTGATGGAAATAATAAGCAAGAAGAAACATAGAATTTAATTTCAATTCAATCTAGAATACCTCCATTGGAGAGTTGAAACTTGAAATGGATAGAATCAAAATAAAATTCTAACTTGAAAGGAAAGGGATCCTGAGTGGAGTTTAATAGTTTTCAAGAACTGGGCAACCGCGCCTAAAACCAGTTTTACACCAAACCATCGGTCTAGAATTATATATGCGCTGTTCTTGTTGTATTCGCAACTGTTGATTGTAACTTAGTTTCTGTGATTCGAGTTCGATCACTGGGTGATAAGCAATGAGCTCTAATTTCACTTCCAGTATTTTTTATACTCGTAATTATCATGAGTAAGCCTTTCAATTGAGTGAAACGTTGCTATTTTCCTCCGATTTCAATTCGGGCTTGTTCGGATTATTATAATCGGGGCATAATAATTGACAGATTTATCTGACAATTAGTAGGACGGCATGGTTTATCTTGTGATTGGGGCATGACGTATTCGTCATCTTAGAAGGGTACGGACAGATCCTCGTCTCCTTTCACTCTAAAGTGTTTGAGAAACAGTTATATAGTTCCATATTTATTCATTTCTGGGGATGAACACTAGATCTCTGACATTTGTTGTTTTTTAGGTTATATTGAGGACATTGGCGTATCATACGTAATTTTCACATGTAATTTCTCATTTAACTGTACATATTATATCCAAATGATGATGATAATTTTCGAGTTTTTGATTTTCCAACTCCAGCATAATCCTTGTGAGGCAGTGAGCAAATTTTCCTGAAAGTTTGATACGGTTTTCCAAATTAGACTGTTCTTAGGCAGTTACTGTGAATAGATGAATTTTGGATCGGAATCGGAACCAGCAATGATGGGCATGACGAAACAGCGAGTTCCACATGGACCCAAGTGGAAAATGGAGAATAATAGGAGGATCAGTACTCGGATACCAATTTCGAAATTCAAAATCACTCCGTATACAGTGTGTTCAAGATAAGGATGTCCATCATGGGGGGAAGTTGATGATAGTTTCTCCGAAATGAAACGTCGTACGGAAAATCTAACAACCCTGCTTTGTCGAGCTAAAAAAATGTCAATGAGAAAGTCTCTTTACGTATACCATTTCAAATAACGCCTGGAATGAATAAAAACGATCCCAATGATAGCCATCCTTATCTTGGACAAAGTGTATAGTATCCAAACATTCGCCTCATTGCCCTCATTGGCTCATTGTAAGAGAGTATATTCCATACCCTGTCGATCATTATATGACACGAAATCTAATCATCAGCACCCCCAGTGATGCAACAGTTTCCCCGTCATATTTTTTCGCATAGAACTGACTATAATGGAAATTGCTATTGTATCTTGTATCCAAGCGGAACAGGAAGTGATCTGTGACGATTGTCATCGAATTAACGAGGATTCGAATCTTGTGCTTTGTCCCTGCAATTTAATTAATCAGCAGTGGCAGCATTCCTGCAATACAACAGGACAATGAGGTGTGATTACTCGATCTGCATCGTATTTCGATACACCTGTGATTCAAATTGGAATAAATTGATTCAATGTACATCGATAATTTAATTATAGTCAACTTATGATGATGAAAGTACAATTCCACAATTATTTTAGTATTTTATACGAAATGAGGAATTAAGTCACGTTTATTTTTGATTGTGTCGTATCTGATATCACAATGACTTCATTGTGTTATCATTTCAGAAAATCTCATCTTCCATGTAATGTTAAATTTCAAGAAATGACGGTTCTGTCTTATACTTTTCTGTTACAGCCGTAGAAAAAGTATTTATTTATTTATTTATAATCACAAAAAGAAATACCGAATGGGACTAACCCGAAAATAGAATTCATAGATAAGTCAATAATTCGCATAATACAGATACTTACTAAACAAATCCAATATCAATTATAATGATGATGAAATATAAATAGTTGAAGTAGGTAATGAATAACTGAGTAAGTACAACATGTAGTAATTTTTTTCAATACATATCAAGATATATCAAAATCAAGTCGGTGAAACAAGGAAATGTTTTATCAAAATGTAGGATAATTTTGAAAACAGTGATAAGAGAAAATAGCAATATCAATTGGATTTGACAGCGTGTTGTATGATATTTGCCATTGATTCCTACTGATATAAGTAGGAGCTTTAAGATGATATTACTAAGCATAGCAGGCGAATCAACTGATTTTTTTATGACATCGTGAAGGAATTTCACGTTTGAAATGATCCTCTTACTATACGCTGGTGATAAGTGAATGCATTTGAATGCATTTTTTATTGACGTAATCTATGAATATAATATGATGTATTCATTCAAGTTTATTGATATAAATATCGTAAGCAGAGTTCCATACCATAATACGGAACGATATAACTCAAAACACTATTGACATAATATGACATATAAAGGGTGTGTGATTTTGAATTTTGCATTCATAAATTGAGGAGCAGAAGTAACAAGTGCTAAAGCATTGTTAAAAAGAGATTTTTAAATGAAACCTTTTTAGTCCAAGATTACAAGCATTTTATTTTCAAATTATAAACTAACTATTCTCCTTACGGCTACGACATGAAAGAAAGAAGACGAACGAAAATTCTTAGTGATTATGATCTTTCAGATGAAGAATAATTGATATTAAGTGCTCTCTCTTGCAATCACCTATCATATTTATGTCTGGTAGCTGGTTAATAGAGATAGTTTTTAGTTAATTATTGCAGATTTTACAGGGACCGCATTTTTGTCAGCCTAAAGGGCAATCAATGTTGTTGTCCCGGTTCTGACTCTCAGTTCCTTTCTCGATGAAATCCAGTAGATCGAGACCAAACCTTTTAGCAGAGGAACGTGAATAACTTGAAAATTCAATATCGAAAAATACGTTTGGAAAATAAATATCGCTCTACGAATGTTTAGATACAATCATGTTACATTATACTTATAATCGTATAGGTTCAGCTAGAAATTTCAAACTGAATGTTAAAACCTTCACAAACGGTTAGATTCACACGAAATTATATCGATATCGTATATGGAGTTTTTCGCATTCACTATGGATTTCCATCAAGTCTATATACAGTGTGTCCACCTTGAGGACTCATCACCCCCATAAAATCGTAATTATCTGACCGTTATCATGACCAGTTGCGACCCACTTTATAGACCCATAGTTGAGAAATTACTATCAGGGATTTTTTTTCTCAAGAAATAATGATGAATTCTGGATCAAGATCACTTGAAACACGCCTGTTCTGATTCTCATCATCATCAAACACAGGGTGTCTGAAAAACGAATTATTAATATAGCTTCAATATATGTCATCAGAAAGTGTTTTGTACTGTCTTTCCTTTTTTTGAAGAAATTAATGACAAATTATTATTGACGAATACTCTGAACATATCGGTACCAATTTTTATCATTAAAATATACGATGCGTATGAGAAAAAATGAATAAAAAAGAATTCCAATAATTCAAAAAATAATAATTTGATTTTCCGGAGCCCTGTCTTTGATTATGATGAAAATCGGTTGATGTATGTTTCAAGTGAGCCTGATAGTCCCAAGTGGTAAATTTTGTTTCTGAATGAAATAGGGAACTCAAAAGTTTGATCTCCTTCGTGAAATATCCTCACACACAAAAAATGAATTTCTGAAACTAACAAAATCTGTTCTACTTCAAGTACCTATATGGTTCATTTATATAAACTCGTATAAATATTTTGTTATTATGAGAAATGTATATTTGCAGGAAAATACTTCCAAAATTAAAAAATATTTTCTTGAGTTGAGAATACTAGGGTAACTTTGTATAAATAGTTCGGATATTCCATACAATGAGATGAAAATGTGTAACTTGAATATATCGAATGCTTACTTGAAACGAACAAATCATTTGAGCCAAGTATATAACATTGTTATTGCTATACTTTGACAATATTGATTTCTTGCTTCGATAATACATTTATTTCTGACTGATATATAAATCTACTTGGTGTAATGAAAATGTTGAATAATGTTTATTGAATCAAGATGTGATGTTTGATACAAGAATCGACATTGTTTCACAACAAAATAATGGAAAACTCGAATGAAGAAATCAGTAGATGATAATTATTGAATCGAGATAATAGTGATATTTGATACAAGAATCAATATTTTTTTCATAAGTGAATTCCAAAAATTCGTGGATGCAGTATGTATTCTTGAATGAAGCAGTAAAGTCGAAGAAATGAAAATATTGATTTGAGGAGAGCAAAATGCTTTTTTCGAAAGTATCCATTCACAGAATAACGAAGTAATTCTTTTTCAAAAAATTCATTTTCTTGGAACGAGAAATCATTTCCATGGGTGTAGTAGCGTCGAATATTGGGAGAAAGAGAAGGGGGTACCTACCAACATTTATTAACGAAGTTTCC